GAAATCAAAAGAAAGCTGGGGTAGCTATAGTTACATCAGACAAAATAGACTTTAAAACCAAGACTGTAGGGGCACCTGGGTGGCTCAGTCAGTTAAACGTCTGCCTTTGGCTCAGGTCATGATCCCAGGGTCCTGGGATGGAGCCCTACCTTGGGCTCCCTGCTTAGCGGGGAGCCGCTTCTCCCTCTCCTCCCCGCTTGTGCTCTCTCTCGCTGTCTCTGTCACTATCTGTCTCTCTCTCAAATAAATAAATAAAATCTTAAAAAAAACCCAAAGACTGTAATAAGAGACAAAGAAGGGCATTATATAATGACAAAAGAATCAATCCAACAAGAGGATATAACATTTGTAAATATTTATGCACCCAAAATAGGGCACCTAAATATATAAAGAAAATATTAACTGACCTAAAAGGAGAAATAGATAGCAAAACAATAATAACAGGAGATTTTAATACTCCACTTACATCAACAGATAGATCATTCAGACAGAAAATCAAAAAGGAAACATTGGCCTTAAATGACATGAGACCAGATGAACTTAGATATATAAAGAACATTCTATATAAAAGCAGCACAATATACCTTCTTCTCAAGTGCACATGAAACATTTTCCAGGATAGATTATATGTTAGGCCACAAGTCTTAAAAATTTAGAAAGATTGACATCGTGTCAAGCATTTTTTTTCTATACACAATGGTATAAAACTAGAAATCAATTATAGGAAGGAGACTGGAAAATTCACACATATGTGGAAACATACAACATGCTCCTGAGCAACTAATGAGTCAAAAAAGAAACCAAAGGAGAAATCAAAAAATACCTTGAGACGAATGAAAAACCATATCAAAATTTATGGAATGTAGCAAAAGGAATTCTAAGGCAGAAATTCATGGTGATAAATACCCATCTCAAGAAACATGAAATTCTCAAATACCCTAAGTTTATACTTCAAGGAACTAGAAACAGAAGAAAAAAAATGAAGCCCAAAGTTAGAAGAAGAAGAGAATAACAAAGATCAGAGTGGAAAGAAATGAAATAAAGACTAAAAAGATAATAGGAAAGATCAGTGAAGCTAAGAACTAGTTCTTTGAAAAGATAAAATTGACAAACCCTTGCTAAGACTCATCAAGAAAAAAAGAGAGCTCAAATCAATAAATCAGAAATGAAAGAAGTGATGTTACATCTAATACCACAGAAATACAAAGGATCATAAGAGACTACTATGAACAATTATATGCCAATAAACAACCTAAAAGAAATGGATAAATTCCTAGAAACATAACCTTCCAAGACTGAATCATGAAGAAATAGAAAATCCGAATTGATCAATTATTAGTAAGGAGATTGAGTTAGTAATCAAAAACTTCCTACCAAACAAAAGTTCAGGATCAGATGGCTTCACTGGTGAATTCTACCAAACACTCAAAGAAGAATTAACACCAATCCTTCAAAGTATTCCAAAACATAGAAGGGCAGGGAACATTTCCAAACTCATTTTTACAAGGCCCGCATTACCCTGATACCAAAACCAGACAAGGACACCACAAGAAAAGAAAATTATAGGCCAATATCTCTCTCTTTTTTTTAAAGATTTTATTTATTTATTTATTAGAGAGCGAGAGAGAGAAAACCAGCATGAGAGGGGAGAGGGTCAGAGGGAGAAGCAGACTCCCCGCCGAGCCGGGAGCCCAATGCGGGACTTGATCCCAGGACTCCAGGATCATGACCTGAGTCGAAGGCAGCCGCCCAACCAACTGAGCCACCCAGGCGCCCCTAGGCCAGTATCTCTTATGAACATAAATGCAAAAATCCTCAACAAAATATTAGCAAACTGAATTCAACAATAAATTACAAGGATTATACACCATAATGAAGTGGGATTTACTTCAGGGATACAAGGATGATTCAATATTTGCAAATCATTCAACATGATATACCACATTAACAAAGTGAAGGATAAAAAATCATATGATCATTTCAATAGATGCAGAAAAAAGCATGTGACAAAATTCAATATCCATTATGATAAAAACTCATGATAAAGTAGGTATAGAGGGAACATATATCAACACAATAAAGGTCATATATAACAAGCCCACAGCTAACATCATACTCAACAGTGAAAAGCTTAAAGCTTTTCCTCTAGAGTCAGGAATAAGGGAAGGATATGTACCTTTGCCACTTTTATTCAACATAGTATTGGAAATCCTAACCAGAGTAATTAGGCAAGATAAAGAAATAAAAGGCATCCAAACTGGTAAAGAAGAAGTAAAACTGTCACTATTAGCAGATGACATGATATCATATGTAGAAAACCCCAAAGACTCCATCAAAAAACTGCCAGAACTAATAAATTCAGTGAAGTTGCAAGATAAAAAAAAAAATCAATATAAAAAGTCAGTTTGTTTTACTATACACTAATAATGATTTCTCAGAAAGAGAAATTAAGAAAATAATCCCAGGGACGCCTGGGTGGCTCAGTCAGTTAAGCACCTGCCTTTGGCTCAGGTCATGATCCCAGGGTGCTGGGATTGAGTCTCGCATGAGCCTGCTTCTCCCTCTGCCCCTCCCCCTGCTTATGCTCTCTCTCTCTGACAATAAGTAAATAAAATCTTAAAAAAAAAAAGAAAGAGAAAATAATCCCAATCACAATAACATCAAAAAGAATAAAAGACCTTGGAATAAATCTAAGCAAGGAGGTAAAAGACCTGTATGCTGAAAATTATAAGAGGAAAGAAATTTAAGAAGACACAAATAAATGGACATGGATTGGAAAAATTAATATTGTTAAAATGCCCACACTATCCAAAGCAATTTACAGATTCAATGCAATCGTTATCAAAATTCCAATGGCATTTTTCACAGAAATAGAATATACAATCTTAAAAATTGTGTGGAACCATAAAAGACCCCCAAGTAGCCAAAGCAATCCTAGGAAAGAAGAACAAAGCTGGAGGTATCACACTCCCTGATTTCAAACTATATTACAAAGACATAGTATGGTATGGGCATAAAATAGACACATACGTCAGTAGAACAGAACAGAAAACCCAGAAATAAATCCCATGCACATTCGGTCAATTAATTTATCACAAAGGAGCCAAGAATATATAATGGGGAAAGAACAGAGTCGTCAATAAATGGTGTCAGGAAAACTGGACAACCACATGCAAAAGAATGAAACTGGACCCACTATCTTATTCCATACACAGAAATTCACCCAAAATGGATTAAAGACTTGAATATGAGACCTGAAACCATAAAATCCTAGAAGAAAACATAGGTGGTAAGCTCCATGACATTGGTCTTGAGTGACGGCTTTTTGGATCTGACTCCAAAAGCAAAGGCAACAAAAGCAAACAAACAAACAAACAAAACCAAGTGGGACTACATCAAACTAAAAAACTTTTGCAGAGCAAAAGAAACTATCAATAGAACCAAAAGGCAACCTACTGAATGGGAGAAAATATTTGCAAATCATGTATCTGTAAGGGGTTAACAACCAAAATATATAAAGAACTCATGCAACTCAGCAAGAAATCCCAACAATCCAATTAAAAAATGGGCACAGGATCTGAATAGACATTTTTCCAAAGATATACAAATGGCAAATGGGTACATGAAAAGATGCTCAACATCATTAATCATCAGGGAAATGCAAATCAAAACCACAATGAGATATCACCTCATACCTGTCAGAATGGCTAAAATCAACAACACAAGAAACAACAGGTGTTGGTGAGGAAGCAGAGAAAAGGGAACCCTTTTGCACTGTTGGTGGGAATGTAAACTGGTGCAGCCACTGTTAAAAAAAAATAAGGATTCCTGAAAAAATTAAAAATAGGGGTGCCTGAGTGGCTTACTTGGTTAAGTGTCCCACTCTTGATTTTGGCTCGGTCATGATCTCAGGGTTGTGAGACCAAGCCCCACATCAGGTTCCAGGCTCAGGGCAGAGTCTGCTTGAGATTCTCTCTCTCTCCCTCTGCCCTCCTCCCATTCGCACACATACCTCCCTCTCTCTCTCTAATAAATAAATAAATAAAAATAAAATCTAAAAAGCATTAAACATAGAACTAGCATACAAGCCAGCAATTCTACTTCTGGGAATTTATCCAAAGAAAACAAAAACTAATTTGAAAAGATATATGCACCCTTATGTTCATTGCAGAATTATTTTCAATAGCCAAGATATGGAGATAACCTAACTGTCCATCAATGGATGAATGAATAAATAAGTTGTGGTATATATATATCCCCACACACAGACACAGTGGAATCTATTCAGCCATAAAAAGAATGAAAATCTTGCCATGCCAAACAACAGCAACAATGCCCCATGGGGGCATTATGCTAAGTGAAATGAGTCAGACATAGACAAATATCTGTGATCTCAGGTACATGTGGAATTTAAAAACAACAGCAACAGCAAGCTAAGCTCATAGATACAGAACAGATCAGTGGTTGTCAGAGGTGGTGGGGTTGGTGTGAGAGAGATGGATGAGAGGGGTCAACAGGTGCAAATTTCCAGTTATAAAATAAATGTCACGGGGATGTAATTTACAACATAGTGACTATGGTTAATGGTATTGCATTGCATATTTACAAGTTGCTAAGAGAATAGGTCTTAAAAGTCTTCATCACAAGACTTTGCAAGTAAAAGCCTTCCTCACAAGACTTGGTTTTGTAACTATGTATGGCGACGGATGTTAACCATACTTACTGCAGTGGTCATTTTACAATATATACAAATATTGCATTGTTATATTGTATACCAGAAACTAATATAATGTTATATGTTAATTATACCTTAAATTGTTTAAAAAAACAAGCAATACAGAAAAGCCACTAATTTTTTACCATCCCATAACCATAGTGTGAAATATTATTCTTGAAAAGTCAGAATCACTCTTTCATTTGGGCTGACAGCATTCTTTGTTGAAGAACACTAATCCTGCATTCTAGACACACAGAATTCTGTCCCTTCCCTGAGCTCTTACCATTCTTGCAGATGCTGATATTCAAAACTCCTGAGCCCAGGCAGTTTCCTTTAGGCACACAGAAGCCGGCATTGTCTGAGGTATTGGCTAGTACTTCTCCAGGCACCTCATACCGGAAGGCAGGCAGTCCCTGCACACTCTGGAAGTCACTGAAAGTTATGTACACTGATCTGGTAGGAAGTAAGGAGGAAAAGTCAGTGTGGGCTCTGGTCAGTGTAATCTGCCCCGAACCAGTAAGTTAACAACCGTTCTCAGGCACAACGTGGCTAAAGTTGATGGGGTATAGGTGGGAAATGAAGATGCAAAAGAAAGCTTGAAAGGAACTAACACCACTTGGTGCAGGAGAGGAATTATCATGAAAGATGTTTAAGAGGCAGCAACTGTAGTAACAGCCAAACCAGGCCAAGGGAAAACAATGTGTGGTAGGAAATAAAGAGGACATTTAGGATGGAGACTCCCAGGGAAAGAAAGAAAAGAGTCGTCCAGACGAGCACGGACATGTGCCAGGGTGGCCGAAGCAGCAGCGAGGGTAGGGCAGAGGCGAAGCAAAAGCAGAAAAGGTGGCAAAGGGCTTGGCCAGGTAGATTTTTAAGTGCTTGAAACGTGCCCCATTAGCCAGACATTTGATTTGAATGTATACTTTGATACCAATTTCCCTCAAGTAAAAATAGTTTCCATATTTTGGAATTTATTACAATGTTTATTATTTCAGTCATTTATCTCAATGGAGTTTGACGTAATTTTGCCGTCAGTCCTTACGGAGTTTCACACGGTGGTCCCATGTACTACTAACCACCCTTGTATTTGCACATCCTGAGCGACAGGTGAAGCACTTTCACATGCACTGTCGCAAGTGATCCTTCAGCCCTTCAGCTGAAGGCCAAAGCGAACTGCTTTCTGGGTCTGGCTATTTTCATCTTTGAACCAGAGGTGGGAGACGTCTCTTGCAGGGTTGTGAATCACATGGGAGCTGCCTTCTACTCACGTCCCACCCCCATAGCATTTTCTGAATAAAATATTTTAGGCAAACAGAAAAGTAGAGAAAATACCATAATAAATACCTTTCAAAACAAATACTACTCAGATAAATAAAAAGTATAGTATGGGTACAACTGCAGCCCTCTGTATAACACTTCTTTCTTTTTTAAAGATTTTATTTATTTATTTGAGAGAGAGAAGGAGAGAATGAGCAAGAGAGCACAAGCAGGGGGAGCGGTGGAGGGAGAGGGAGAAGCAGACTCCCCGCCGAGCAGGGAGCCCGATGTGGGGCTCAATCCCAGGACCCTGGGATCATGATCTGGGCTGAAGGCAGACGCTTAACCACCTGAGCCACCCAGGCGCCCCTGTATAACACTCCTGATTACAGTCCTTCTCTGAGTCCCCAGAGGTAACCACTGTCCTGAACTTGGGGTTTATCCTTCCCTTGCAGGTCTTAATCCTTTCACAAATGTGCACATTCATAAACAATGGGTGGCATGGTTTGCTATTTTTAAATGTTATATAAAACAGTATGCCATGTTCTCTTCCTATAATTTGCTTCTTCATTCAATATTACATTATTAAGATTTATAACATGACATTGTCTGGTTCTTGTATTTTAAATCTTATGCAGTATTCCGTCATATGAATACACCATGATTTATTTATGTTCTCCTTTTTACAGAGACTTAGGTTGCTTCCAATTTTCCACTGCTAAAACCACGTTGCAATGAACTTTTCCATCTACGTCTCCTTACATGTCTACACAAGGCTTCTTTGGGCCAGGGAACTGATGCAGAACAGTGAGGCACTGTGGCATTTGCACATCCTCAGCTTTACTAAACATTGCCAAATGGCCCTTCAAAAGTGCTCGTGTCGGATAAGAACATGTTTCCTCCGCACCAAATCTTTCAAAAAGCCTCCTGTGGTGCTTCTAGGTTGCCTTGTTTCACTCACTGCATTCAAATGCATTTTCTGACCCTTCTGTCCTTCCACAAATATGTATGGGCGAGGGCAGCCAGCCCTCCCTCCCCCAGTGGGGGAGCTGGGACGGCTGGGAACCATGGCCCGGCAGCAGGGACGGAGAGGTGGGGGCCGATGCAAGAGGTCTTTCTGAGGAGGCATCCCAGCACCTGGTAGCAGAGTCGATGCAGGAGAGCAGGGAGATTTATAATGCCACCACTATTCCTGGCAGGGCTGACTGGGTAGGCGGTGCAATTATGTGAGCTATGAAACACCAGAAGAACAGCCATTCTTCAGAATATTGAATCAACAGTGTCAACTGTGACTAAGTTACTTGGGACTTTGAGGAGTTTCATGAAAAGTCTTGGCGGGGTACGTGGGGAGGATGTGGAGGTGGTGTGAGTCAGCCATTCATTCAGGCAGTCTGAGGGTGAAGCGGGGAGACAGGGCAGTAGCTGATGAGGGGACAGGAATCAGGATGGAGAGCAGGATGCCTTCTTCCCAGAGAGGAGCCATAATCATGAAGGAGCAGGTGGGAGAGAGGGAGAGCTCACAAGGCAAGTGGCAGCAGGTATGATCTAAGGGAAGGTGATAGCTCAGCAAATGCCTGCAAACTCTGAACTAGGGACAACAGTTTGATTTATCCTCTGTGTAGAGGTTACCTGTCGACTGGAAGACCAGGTGAAGTATTATGCTTGACAGAGCTTATCATAATAACTAAGAGCCATCATTTAATATTGTTTACTGTTTGACAAGTCCTGGGTGAAGTATTTTACTAACAGTAACGCATTTGTCCTCATAACAGCTCCCAGGGTAGGCAACAATTTCTATCTTTATTTTACAAATGAGGAAAGTGAGGCACAAAGTGCTGAATAACTTTCCCAAGGTCACACAGTGTAAGTGTGTTCGGAGCTGGTGTTTAAATCAACCAATGCAGTCACGCTCTGGAGCCCGTGCCTGGAACCACTATGCCACACTGTCTCTCAATATGCCATCAGCATTCATCACTGATTTTTTTTTAAAGATTTTATTTATTTATTTGACACAGAGAGAGAGAGAGAGAGAGAGCACAAGGAAGGGGAGCAGGAGAGGGAGAAGCAGGCTCCCCGCCGAGCAGGGAGCCCAACGCGGGGCTCGATCCCAGGACCTGAGCAGAGGGCAGACGCTTAACCACTGAGCCACCCAGGAGCCCCAGCATGTCACTGATTAAGCAGAAATGTCCAGGGCTATGAAGGGTAGCTCCTTATATTCCTCACCCTTTTGGTCGTCTTGCGGTCAAATAACTTATGTGGAAAGTTCTTACCTGCAAAATTCAGATGGGAAGATATAAAGAATTTCCTCTTTGTTTATTAACGGGTGAAAAGAATCTCCATCTGTTCCATTAATCATATTGCACTTGTCTGTTGTCCACCAGTCAAGGGATCTGTAATTGATAAGCACAAGAAAGAGTAGACTATCACATTTGATTTTACATCTTTTCAGATGGTTGGGACTTTTCAGGCCTTAATTGGGAGCCAGCTACCCACAGAATCTTATTCATACGCAGACACAGGGGGGATGCTGGTTAGGAATTAGATCAAGAGGGGTCAGAGTAGGCACCTGATCCCCAAATCAATTCTGATAGAGGCAACGTCCAAAAATCCCTCTTTCCTTCCTGCAAAAAAGAGTTTCCTATGTAGAGGTTTAGAAATGCCCATTTTATTAAAATAGTGATTCAATGTAGCATAAACAATAGCCTTGTCCGGAGCTAGCCCACTGACAGAAGAGCTCGGGATAGGTATGTTCAGGTCTTGAGGAAGGAGCTGAGATGGCAGAGTAGTAGGAGGACCTTATGTTTGCCTCATCTCTCAAACACAGCTAGATAAATATCAAATCATTCTGAGCACCCAGGAAATCAATCTGAGGACCGAGAGAACAAACTGTAAAACTAGAGGGAGAAAAGAGGCCATGTCGTGGAAGGTAGGAGATGAGATGTGATTTGAGGGAGAAAAGAATCTCTAGTGCTATGGAGGGGAGGGAGCCCCCGATCCCAGAGAGAGAGAGGGCACAGGGTGCAGGTTATCACACAAGAAAAACACTCCTCTAAAACCACTGATGTGGAAAACAAGAGTGGTTGATTACTGCAAGTTTTTACAAGTGGCTAAGCTCAGAGACTAAAGTTTTAGCAGTCCATGCGATCACTGGGTGAAGCCTGGTGGGTACAGGGGTGCTCCTGTGGAGAAGGAGGGCAGAGGCCCGGGAGCAGACAGTGTGGTCGGAAGATCCCCTGGGTCCCACTGGGAGAGACAGTCCCCCTTCTTGCAGTGCACTTGGGAGAGGTGGCACTGCCTCTCCAGGGACAAAAGAGCCGGCGGTGCCAATGTGCTGTCCCGTTCATTAGCATAGGAGCAGAGATGTCTGTGCGGGCCACTAACCCAGCTGTGGGCTTTTTGCTGCACTTTACCATAAACTCCAAGCCCCTGTGTGTTCGTGTGACTGCCCTTCTGGGACAAACCGGCACCAGCCACAGTGTGGCAAGACCCTCCCCCAGAGGATCAGCGCAGGTCGATGCCATGCGGGGTCCCTAAAACTTGCAGTTTTGAAAACCAGCTGGCGGGCCTGAGCTAAGACACAGGAGTACTGCGCCATCAGATGGGCAGATGGCTCAGACATAGGGTGAAAGCAAGAGTCTGAGGGAAGCCTGGGACAAATGAGGGGAGAGTGTTTGCTCTTCTGGGAGGGCTTCCTGAACAATGGCGGACGCAAATTCCCCTTTGGGGATGAGAGAGCAGGCTGACGCTATTTTTACCCCTGCTCATCAGCACAGACCGACTTCAGTGAGCAGCACAGCTTCCCACAGAGGAGGTTTGAGCTGCTTACACCAAGCCCCACCTCCCTGGACTCTGCAGGTGCTTCTGAACCAGGGCAAAGGTGCCTGAAAGTCAGAGAGCAGAAAGCAGGCCCCTCCCGCAGAAGGCCAGCACAAGACACCTGCACACCAAGTCTACTGACCATTGAGTGTACAAACCTTAAGTTCTAGGGGAAATAGTATTTAGTCTCTTTTAACAAGCTGACCAAAACACACCTAGTTAAAGCTCACCACACACTGGACAACGTCCAAACACTCCCCGCTGCAGGCAAGGAGAAACTCTGCAGAGGCCTGACCTGAGGGATAGAGCGGCCAAAACACAACAGCAGAGTGCACGCAGCACACACCAGAGACACTTTCCAAAGCACCAGGCCCTGGACAGTATAGGACATCTTCTTAATATAGACATTACTCTCAGGAGCAGGAAACATAAGAGGCCTTCCTAACATACAGAAGACAGAGACCCAGACCAAATGCCAAGATGGAGGAGTTCATCCCCAATAAAAGAACAAGAAGCAGTCATGGCCAGGGATCTAATCAACATAGATGTAAGTAATATGCCTGAATCAGAATTTAAGACAACAATCCATAAGGATACTAGCTGGGCTTGAGTAAAGCATAGAAGACATCAGGGAGTCCCTTACCGCAGAGATAAAAGACCTAAAAACTAGTCAGGCTAAAATTAAAAATGCCATAACCAAGATGCAAAACTGACTGGATGTAATGCCCACAAGAACTGAAGAAGCAGAGGGACAAACAAGTGATATAGAAGATCAAATTATGGAAAATAATGAAGCTGAAAAGATGGAAAGAAAAGTGTTGGATCATAAATGTAGACTTAGGGAACTCATTGACTCCATAAAGTATAATAACATGCGTATCATAGGAGGCCCAGAACAAGAGAGGGAAAAAGGGGCAGAAGGTTTATTTGAGCAAATTATAGCTGAAAACTTCCCTAATCTGGAGGAGGAAACAGACATCCAAATCTAGGCGGCAGAGAGAATTCCCTCCAAAATCAACAAAAGCAGGCCAATACCAAGACACATCATAGTAAAATGTGCAAAATACAGAGATAAGGAAAAAAAATCCTGAAAGCAGTGAGGGAAAAAACAAAAACCCTAACCTACAAGGGTAGACACATAAGGTTCCCAGCAGACCTGTCCACAGAAACTTGATAGGCCAGAGAGAGTGACATTCAATGTGCTAAAAAGGAAAAATATGCAGCCATGAATACCTTATCCAGCAAGGCTGTCATTCAGAATAGAAGGAGAGACAAAGAGTTTCCCAGACACACAAAAACTAAAGGAGTTCATGAGCACTAAACCAGCCCTGCAAGAAATACTAAAGGGGACTCTTTGAGTGGGAAAGAAAGACCAAAAGCAACAAAGACTAGAAAAGAACAGACCAGATCTCCAGAAACACCAACTTTACAGGTAATACAGCGGCACTAAATTCATATCATCAACAATCAGTCTGAATGTAAATGGACTAAATGTGCCAATCAAAAGACACAGGGTATTAGAACGGATGAAAAAAACAAGACCCATCAATATGCTGCTGACCAGAGACTCATTTTATTTTGTTTTACTTTATTTTTTCTATGCATGTGACATTTATTTATTTCCTCTGTAGTTGTATATTTATATTTATTTATTTATTATTACTATTTTTAATTAACATATAATGTATTATTGGTTTCAGAGGTAGAGGTCCGTGATTCATCAGTCTTATATAACACCCAGTGCTCATTACATCACGTGCTTTCCTTAACGTCCATCACCCAGTTACCCCATCCCTCCACCCTCCTTCCCTCCAGCAACCCTCAGTTTGTTTCCTACAATTAAGAGTAAGAGACTCATTTTAGACCTAAAGACACCTGCAGATTGAAAGTGAGGGGATGGAGAACCATTTAGCATGCTAATAGACGTCAAAAGAAAACTGGACTAGCCATAGTTATATGAGACAAACTAGATTTTAAACCAAAGACTGTAACAAGAGATGAATAAGGGTACTGTATCATAATAAAGGGGTCTATGTAACAAGAAGATATAACAATTATAAATATTTATGCCCCCAACTTGGGAGCACCCAATTATACAAATCAATTAATAACCAACATAAAGAAACTTATTGATAACAATATAGTAATAGTAGGGGACTTTAACACCCCACTTACAGCAACGGACAGATCATCTAAGCAGAAAATCAACGAGGAAACAATGGCTTTGAATGACACACTGGATCAGATGGACTTAATATATATTATATAAATATATATATATAAATATATATATATTTATATATTCATCCTAAAGCAGCAGAATATACATTCTTTTGAGTGCACATGGAACATTCTCCAGAATAGATCACATACTGGGTCACAAATCAGGCCTCAACAAGTACAAAAAGACTGAGATCATACCATGCATATTTTCAGACCACAACACTATGAAACTTGAAGTCAACCACAAGAAAAAATTTGGAAAGACCTCAAATACAAAGAGGTTAAAGAACATCCTACTAAAGAATGAATGGGTTAACCAGGAAATAAAAAAATACATGGAAGCAAATGAAAATGAATACATGATAGCCCAGTACCTTTGGGATGCAGCAAAAGTGGTCCTAAGAGGGAAGTATATAGCAGTACAGGCCTACCTCAAGAAGCAAGAAAAGTCTTGGGACGCCTGAGTGGCTCAGGCAGTAAAGCGTCTACCTTCAGCTCAGGTCATGATCTCAGGGTCCTGGGATTGAGCCCCACATCCAGTTCCCTGGTCAGTGGGGAGTCTGCTTCTCCCTCTCCTTCTGCCCCTCCCTCCCCTCTGCCCTGCTCCTGTGTTCTCTCTCTCTCAAATAAATAAATAAAATCTTAAAAAAAAAAGCAAGAAAAGTCTCAAATACACAACAACCTTACACCTAAAGGAGCTAGAAAAGGAACAGCAAATAGAGCCTAAAGTCAGCAGAAGGAGGGAAATAATAAAGATTAGAGCAGAAATAAATGATATAGAAACAAAAAAAGATAGTAAAACAGATCTATGAAACTAGGAGCTTGTTCTTTGAAAGAATTCATAAAATTGATAAACCCCTGGCCAGACTTATAAAAAAGAAAAGAGAAAGGATCCAAATAAATAAAATCATGAATGAAAGAGGAGCGATCACAACTAACACCACAGAAATACAAACAGTTATAAGAGAATATTATGAAAAATTATATGCCAACAAATTAGGCAATCTGGAAGAAATGGATAAATTCCTAGAAACATATTAACTACGAAAACTGAAATGGAAATAGAAAATTTGAACAAAAACCATAACCAGCAAAGAAATTGAATCAAAAATCTTCCAACAAACAAAAGTCTAGGGCCAGATGGCTTCCCAGGGAAATTCTACCAAACATTTAAAGAATTAATAACTATTTTCTCAAACTGTTCCAAAAAATAGAAATGGAAGGGAAACTTCCAAACTCATTCCACAAAGCCAGCATTACCTTGATTCCAAACCAGACAAAGACCCCACTAAAAAGAAGAATTAAGGGCCAATATCTCTGATGAACATGGATGCAAAAATTCTCAGTAAGATACTAGCAAATTGAATCCAACAGTACAGTAAAAGACTTATTGCCATAATCAAGTGGGATTTATTCCTGGGCTGCAAGATTTTCAAATCAATCAACATGATACACCACATTAATAAAAGAACGGATAAGAACCACATGATCCTCTCAATAGATGCAGAAAAAGCATTTGACAAAATACAGTATCCATTCTTGATAAAAAACCCTCAACAAAGTAGGGATAGAGGGAACATACCCCAACACCATAAAGACCTACAGCTAATAACATTCTCAATTGGGAGAAAACTGAGAGCTTTTCCTCTAAGGTCAGGAACAAGAACAAGGATGTCCACTCTAACCATTGTTATTTAATATAGTACTAGAAGTCCTAGCCTCAGCAATCAGACAACAAAAAGAAATAAAAGGCCTCCAAAGCAGCAAGGAAGAAGTCAAACTTAAACTATTCACAGAGGACAAGATAGTCTATGTAGAAAACCCAAAAGACTCCACCAAAAAATTGCTAGAACTCATACATGAATTCTGCAAAGTTGCAGGATACACAATCAATGTACAGAAATCTGTTGCATTTCCATAAACCTATAATGAAGCAGCAGAAAGAGAAATTAAGGGATCGATTCCATTTACAATTGCACCAAAAATCATAAGATACCCAGGAATAAACCTAACCAAAGAGGTAAAAGACCTGTACTCTAAAAACTATAGAACACTTATGAAAGAAACTGATGACACAAATAAATCGAAAAACATTCCATGCTCATGTATTGGAAGGACAAATATTGTTAAAATGTCTGTACTACCCAAAGCAATATACAAATTTAATGCACTCCCTATCAAAATACCACCAGCATTTTTCACAGAGCTAGAACAAATAATCCTAAAATGTGTATGGAACCACAAAAGATCTTGAATAACAATCTTGAAAAAGAAAAGCAAAGCTGGAGGCACCACAATTCTGGACTTCAAGCTCTATTACAAAGCTGTAATCATCAAGACAGTACGGTACTGGCACAGAAACAGACATACAGATCAGTGGAACAGGATAGAGACCCCAGAAAGGGACCCACAACTCTATGGTCAACTAATCTTCCACAAAGCAGGAAAGAACATGCAATGGAAAAAAGTCTCTTCAACAAATGGTGCCAGGGAAACTGGACAGCAACATGCAGAAGAATGAAACTGGACCACTTTCTTAGACTATAGACAAAAATAAATTCAAAATGGATGAAAACCCTAAATGTGAGACAGGAAATCATCAAAATCCTAGAGGAGAACACAGGCAGAAACCTCTTTGACCTCAGCCATAGCAACACATCTCCTGAGGCAAGGGAAACAAAAGCAAAAATGAACTGTTGGGACTTCATCAAGATAAAAAGAATCTGCACAGCGAAGGAAACAATCAATAAACCTAAAAGGCAGCCCACGGAACAGGAGAAGATATTTGCAAATGACATATCTGATACAGAGTCAGTATCCAAAATCTATAAAGAACTTATCAAACTAATACCCAAAAGACAAATAATCCAGTTAAAAAATGGACAGAAGACATGAATAGACATTTTTCCAAAGAAGACATCCAGATGGCCAACAAACACATGAAAGATGCTCAACATCACTCATCATCAGGGAAATACAAATCAAAACTACGATGAGATACCACCTCACACCTGTCAGAATGGCTAAAATTAACAACCCAAGAAACAACAGATGTTGGCGAGGATGCGGAGAAAGGGGAACCCTCCTACACTGTTAGTGGGAATGCAAGCTGGTACAACCACTCTGGAAAACAATATGGAGATTCCTCTAAAAGTTGAAAATAGAACTACTCTAACACCCAGAAATTGCACTACAAGGTATTTACCCAAAGGATACAAAAATACAGATTCAAAGGGGCACATGCTCCCCAATGTTTATAGCAGCATTACCAACAATAGCCAAATTAAGGAAAGAGTCCAAATGTCCATTGACTGACGAATGGATAAAGAGGTGGCATACATATATACAATGGAGTATTATTCAGCCATAAAAGGAATGAAATCTTGCCATTTGCAACGATGTGGATGGAGCTGGAGTGTATTATGCTAAGCAAAATAAGTCAGAGAAAGACAGATACCATATGATTTCACTCATCTGTGGAATTTAAGAAAACAAAACAGATGAACATAGGTGAAGGGGAAAAAAAAGAGAGGGAGGCAAACCAGAAGAGACCCTTAACTGGGGATTAAGGAGGGCATTTGTGATGAGCACTGGGTGATGTATGGAAGTGCTGAATCACTATATTGTACACCTGAAACTAATATTACACTGTAGGTTCACTAACTAGAATTTCAATAAAACGCATGGAAAATTTTTTTTTAAGATTTTATTTATTTATTTGAGAGAGAGAGAATGAGAGAGAGAGAAAGCACATGAGAGGGGGGAGGGTCAGAGGGAGAAGCAGACTCCCCGCCGAGCAGGGAGCCCGATGTGGGACTCGATCCCGGGACTCCAGGATCATGACCTGAGCCGAAGGCAGTCGCTTAACCAACTGAGCCACCCAGGTGCCCAAAACGCATGGAAAATTAAAAGAGAACATTTAATAAAATATGTTGGAACATTTAATTGAGTATCCTATAAAAATAATAAGCATTTTGCTATATTTGGCTTCCAAAGAATGTGAAACAAGTTGAAGGCAAGAATAGCTTGGAAGATGGGCATAAAGTGTTACAAAATTGGTAAAGTTAGTGTCCTGTTTGGGAGGAGAAGAAACAATAGACAGCTTTCAATTTTGTCAGAAACTATTGTTAAATATGAACCATAAAAATCTGAGGATAGGGATGCCTGGGTGGCTCAGTCGGTTAAGCATCTGCCTTCCGCTCAGGTAGTGATCCCAGAGTCCTGGGATCAAGCCCAGCATCAGGCTCTTTGCTCAGCAGGGACCCTGCTTCTCCCTCTGCCTGCTCCTCCGCCTGCTTGTGCTATCTCTGTCTCTCTGACAAATAAATAAATAAACCTTTGGAAAAAAAAATCTGAGGGTAGAATAGATGTAAACCAGAAAAAAGTCCAATATATTAAATACTGTATCATTATATTGTAACTGTATCAATAACTATATATTTAAAAGGATCACCCTGTGCTATTGAAAAATTAGAAAGAAAATAACAGATTGAATCTAAAACAAAATCCAGCTTTATGCTGTGTACAAGTAAATCTCCGTGTGGCCAACCCCCCAGGCCACCCACGTCCCCCGCTTCAGGGGCAACCCTGTTACCAGCTTCTCATATATTCTTTCAGGGATCTTACCTATTTTGGGGTGTGTATGCACAAATGTATGTTTGTGTACATGGATATGTGTGCTTTTTAAAATTTAAATAAACTTTTTATTTAAAAATAGTTTGAGATTTACAGAAAAGTTGCAAAGGTAGTACAGAGAGTTTCCCCTATATTCCACACCAGTTTTTTTGCCCATATTTCTGGGAAGCTTAGATGTAAATTTAATGTTCAAGAACAGAATTCCTCTTACCTCAGTCCCTGAAGAACTACCCTCCTTTTCTCTCCAAGGTTTCTAATTCCTCTGACTTAAAGAAAGTATCTTGGATTATACGTTGCCTTATTGCAAATTCCCTCAGCTCCTTTTTGGAAGTAGTTTGTTTTTAATTACAAATGTTAAAAAATATTTCTGAAATACCATGATAGTGAAGTCAAATGTATTTTATCTTTAAAGAAAAACACGTGAACAATCCACAATCACTAAATTAGATTAAAAAGAGAAGCTCTTCCCTCTCCCCCCAAAACAAGTGGTTTTAAAGTATTTGTGTTGTGGCTACACATCATTCAGAGTGAAACTTTTCACTGCTTATAACTCATACCTAGCCATGAACAGTCTACAAAGCTCTGATGTTTAATTTTGTAAAGTGTGTTACCCCAATCTTGATTTATACAATAGTAATTATAAATATATTTTACATATTTATAGACTTTTCATGCAAAAAATGACAGTGATAATTTTTTTGAAATAATACATAAGTGGACGTTCAATTTAAACAAAATTTTAAAAAATAATTATACTGGTAAATGTTTACACTTACGTTTTTCCATTCCATTCCACAATCTTTGAAAAGTTAAGGTAACTGTCTTCTCCAGTTAGAAAAACATAGTCTCCATCACTAGTCCCATTTTTCTGAAAAGAAGTGAATATGATCATTTTAAGAAACTGTGATTGTTAATTTTACGTGTCAACTTGGTAGACTATGGTGCCCAGTCATTTGGTCAAACACTGGTCTTGATGTTGCTGCATTTTGTAGGTATGATTAACACTTAAAATCAATTGACTTTAAGTAAATTACCACTGATGTGGGTGGACTCATCCAATCAGCTGACGGTTTTAAAAACAAAATCTGAGGTTTGCTGAACAAAAAGGAATTCTCAATTCTGCAATATAGAAATCCTGCCTGCGTTTCTAGCCTGCCAGCCTGTCTTATGGATTTCAGACTGGCCACGTGCTGCCTCCACCACTGCATAAGCCAATTCCTTAGTATGTATAAATCTCTCAGATAGATACTACAGATAGATATAGATATAGATTTGGATCTCCTACTGATTCTGTTTTTCTGGAGAACCCTAACTGATACAGTAACTGAGAAACTTAAGCTTCGTGAAACTATCCTAGTTGGGCATAAGTGCTACCAAAGACTGAACCAGAACTAAGGAATACAGTGACTCTTTGACTAAATACCATATTAACCATATTATTACTTAAAAAGTAGGAGCCCAATTAAATAATGGACAAAGGATTTGACATTTCTCCAAAGAAAATATGCAAATGGCCAACAAGTACGGGAAAAGATGCTCAACATCATCAGTGTTCAGAGAAATGCAAATTAAAGCCACAGTACTATTTCATACCCACCAGGACGGTGATAAAAGAAAAAAAAAAAAAAGGAAAATGGGTGCCTGGGTGGTGCAGTCGGTTAATCGTCCAACTCTTGGTTTCGGCTCAGTTCGTCATCTCAGGGTCTTGAGATGGAGCCCTGAGTCAGGCTCCGCACTCAGTGGGGAGTCTGCTTGAGAGTCTCTCCCTGTCCCTCTGCCCCTCCCATTCGTGCTCGCTCTCTAAAATAAATAAATATGTTTAAAAGGGGGGGAAATAACAAGCATTGGTGAGGATCTGGAGAAACTGGAGCCTTCACACACTGTTGGTGAGAATGGAAAATGGTGCAGCTGCTGTGGAAAACTATGGCGGTTCCTCAAAAAGTCAAACAGAATTGCCATATGACCCCAAATTCCACTCCTCTCTATATACCCAGGAGAATTCCATTCCAAGGTATACAGCCAATGTCCGTATAAAAACCTGTACACAAATGTTCAGAGCAGCATTATTCATAACAGCCAAAGAGTAGAAACAACCCACACATCCACCAACTGATGAACAGATAAACAAAGTATGGTCTCTCCATACAATAGACTATGTCAGCCCTAAAATGAATAAAGTGCTGATACATGCTACAACCTGGATGAACCTGGTAGACATTATGCTAATAAAAGAAGTCAGACACAAAGGTCATATATTGTATGATTCCATTTACAGAAATGTCCATCTTGCATATGAATGTTCAACTGCCAGAGATGGGTCCAACTCAGAGGTGGTACCTCTTGGCCCCCATTTGTAGAGTGGGCATGTATGCTGGGTTGTTTTTTTTTTTAATAAAGATTTTATTTATTTATTTGACAGAGAGAGAGACAGTGAGAGAGGGAACACAAGCAGGGGGTGGTGGAAGAGGGAGAAGCAGGCTTCCCGCTGAGCAGGGAGCCCGATGTGGGATTCGATCCCAGGACCCTGAGCCGAAGGCAGACACTTAACGACTGAGCCACCCAGGTGCCCCTGTATGCTGAGTTCTTTAATATTATTTTTTGCCTAAAGAAGCCAAGCTCCATTCCCAAATGCCTTTCCTCTCTGGCTCTGAGGAAGCTCCCACACAGAGCGCTGACTCTTCTCCTCTCAGCCTGGGCCAGCCTGGCCTCTCCTCCCCGGCACCAGAGGTCCCAGCACCCCAAAGGGGCTGTAGAGAGTTGGGCAGGTATGTGGGGGGATTACTTATGTTCTGTTTCAAACAAAAAGCATAATCTTACTTTTCTTTACAAAAGCAAAAAGAAAACCAAAAAAGACACAAACCTTTTAACTATTAAAAAATTTCTATAGATTCACAGGCAAATTCATAGAGACAGAAAGTAGGTTAGTGGAAGGGGAGAAATGGAAGTGACTACTGAGTATGTGGTTTTTTTGGGGAGGATGATGAAAATGTTCTAAAATTACACAGTGGTGGTGGTTGCACAACCTTGTGAATATACTAAAAACCGCTGAATTGTGCACTTTAAAATGGTGAATTTTATGATAAGTGAATTATGGCTTAATAACAAAAAATAAGAAAGCATATGTCCAAGGCCAGGACACTATTATATATTAGCTGCAACAGAAGAAAGTGGTATTAATATAGTCCCATTTTCAAGTAAGCTTTCTCCAGCTGTACATTCTCTCCAAGTTACACTTCTTTTCTTTTTTTTTTAAGATTTTATTTACTCATTAGACAGAACGAGCACAAGCAGGGAGCAGCAGAGGGAGAGGGAGAAGCAGACTCCCCGCGGAGCAGGGAGCCCGATGTGGGACTCAATCCCAGGACCCTGGGATCATGACCTGAGCCGAAGGCAGATGCTTAACTGACTGAGCCACCCAGGTGCCCCACCAAGTTACACTTCTTAAGGGTACATGCCGACAACCTATATCCTTACAAATTCTTTATCTGAAGATAGAGCTTTTTGATTTCTGGGAAATAGCATGGGTACTAGTTCCTCTATAATAATAAAGTAATAAGAGCTAACAATTATTGAGTATTTATAATATTCCTGGTACTGCTCTAAAATTGTAGTATGGATTATCTCATGAAATCCTCATCACCATCACATAAGATAGCGTGGTAGACAGAATAATGGCCCTCCAAATATGTCCACGTTCTAGTCCCCAGAACCTGTGAATCTGTTGTCTAATATAGCAAGAGGGACTTTGCGGATGTGATTAAGTTAAGAATCTTGAGATGGGGACATTATCCTGGATTACCTGGGTGGATCCAAGGCAATCACAAAGGTTCTTACAAAGAGAGGCAGGAGGGCCAGGTCAGCGTAGTAACTGTGATGACAAGCAGAGGTCAGCTGGAGGGACTGAGAGTGAAGATGTTTCCCTGTTGGACTTGACAGTGGAGGAAGGGCTGCAAGCCAAAGAAATGAAGCCTGCTTCTAGAAGCTGTAGAAGTCAAGGAGGGGGATTTCCTCTTCGAGCCTCCAGAAGAAACACAGCCCTGACCACACCCTGCTTTTAGGACTACTGACATCTGGAACTGTAAGATAATAAATCTGTGTTGTTTCAAGCCCCTAGGTTTATGGCTATTTGTTATAGCAGCAATGGGAGACAAACACAGACAAGCACACTCTCACCCTCATTCTATTGATGACAAATCTGAAACAAAGTGAAGTTAAATAACTTGCCCAGATCACTCAACCAGCAAATGGTGGAGCTAGGACTGAACCCCACACTCCATGGGCTGATGTGCTGACCGGGCTGTGGTACTCAGTCATCTATTAGCGAGCACTTACTGAATGCCTACCATGTGTCTAGCACCGGAAATCAGTGAACAAAACTACGGCCTTCGTGGTGCGTCCATTCTAATACTATTATTATAATTGTTTTCATTCTTTTAAATGCTTATTATGTGACAGGCACTTGGTAGATAAGCTAAGAAGAAGACAATAACCAAAGACTGTTCTATTTCCATTGCTTTAAGCTATCTTTGGAGGTTTGTCACAGATAGCTTTTTGCGTATTAACACAGATGCATTCTGGTGATGCACAGGACTTGTGTTCTGCTTTATTTTGGAAAAAATAAATAAATAAAATAGTTTTTCTTCTGATTATAGAAGTAATACATTTTTTCTGATTATAAAAGTAACAAAATCTCATTAGAAAATACAGAATGATGTATAAAAAAAAGTGCCCAGGGCGCCTGGGTGGCTCAGTCGGTTATGCGTCTGCCTTCAGCTCAGGTCATGAGGGATCGAGCACCGCATCAGGCTCCCTGCTCGGTGGGAGTGTGCTTCTCCCTCTGCCTGCAAACCCCCACCCTCCACTCGTGCTCTCTCTTTATAATTAAATAAAATCTAAAATCTATTTTTTTAAAAGTGCCCGTTATTCATCATTCTCTCTCTTTTTTTTTAAGATTTTATTTATTTATTTTAGAGACAGAGAATGAGAGATAGAGAGCATGAGAGGGAAGAGGGTCAGAGGGAGAAGCAGACTCCCTGCTGAGCAGGGAGCCTGATGTGGGACTCGATCTGGGGACTCCAGGATGATGACCTGAGCCGAAGGCAGTCGCTTAACCAACTGAGCCACCCAGGCGCCCTATTCATTATTCTCTTAACCATGGGAACTTTGGTCTGTTTCTTTTCAGTGTCTTTTCTATACAAGATTTGTTTATTGAACTAAGATAAATTATATATGTGTAATATATATACACATAATTTTTATACACATATGTAATTGTGCATATATAGATATATTTATACATACACACACAATTTTTTACTTAACATATTTCCCATGTTACCAAAAGTTCTTCACAGGTGTAATTTAATGACTCTACAACATTATGTAGAAATAATTAATTATTCTCTTATTATTGGATATTTAATTTTGAATTTTTTTGCTACTACAAATAATGCTGTATGAATATCTTTATGCCTAAAAGCGTTGTCAGTACTTTTGTTTTCTACACAGACCCATCAAAGTAAAATCACTAGAGAAAAGGACACCAACATGTTTAAGCCTTTTGATACATATTATCAAGTTGCTCAAGGTTGTCCAGCAGGAAAGTGGTGGAAATAGTAGGGTAAATCAGTTTACATTCCCCAAGTTACTTTTGTTAAGCTCTGCTAATTAGATGAACCAAAAAAGTAAAAGTTTTCTTATCTCTTTTTGCATTTCTATATTCCCGGAATTTGAACCCTTTTCTCATATCATTCAGCTCTTTGCCTTAAAAAACATTCATACCCTTTGTGAATTCTCTTCTCATGTGTTTTGCCTGCTTTGGTTCTTCGTTCTGTCACTTAACATTATTTCGCCAACTATGTCAGTATATCAACTTGGTCCACATACAGAATAGTCATGTCATGTTCCCCACATGAAGCTTCATGTGACTTTAAGATATGACAAAGAACTCTTTAGGAGCAGCAATGTGAATACTACACCAACTTAGAGAAAATTCAAATACTCTTCGTAAAAAATGCTGAACCACCAATTTTAAAAATGAATGGATGCTATTTCCTAAAGTCCTCTACTTAACTCAGACATGGGCTAAGCAAAGTAGAGAAGCATTTAAATGTTTCACAGTAATTCACAAAGGGTTCTTCCCAGCCGTTTTCCGCCCAAGAGTCAGACGTTGCATGTGCATGCTTCCCTGTCTCTTGCTAGAACCTCCTTGACAATAAGCAGGAATCAAGAGGTCTTATGTCATGATGGCAGGGATGTGTGCGGGATACAGGAACATATTACTGCAGGAGATAGAGAGGTGCCCTGAGCTAGGACTACCACAGTCCTGCCACTACTGTAACCTAAGCATGATCCCCACCCCCGCCCCCGAAGGACGGGCTGGACTGGCTGATCTCTCAAAGATGCTTTCCGGCAACTATGATTTTATACACCCAAGAACCCACATCCAGTGGGAGGGGCTGGCACTCTAACACCAAGGAGAACAGAGGCGCCCTAAAATCACAGGGTAAAAATATGCTGATTGGCCCTGCAAGATGCAAATGTGAGCATCTGATATCTAACCAGGTCCCTTCTTCTCAGAAGTTCTGTGCCGATATTCTACATTCACTCATCCTGTTCATTCTCACACCCTGTCCCTCCCCATTAATTGTTTGGCTGTTTCATCATTAGAGTCTTTGAAGGAAAAGTGCTCAATGGCATTCACCAAGATTTCTCTCTTCGTCATGTGTCGTGGAGCAGGTGGGGCAGGCATGCAAGCCTGGTGCATCCGAGGGGAATGCTCGCACAAGATCACCAGGATTCAGGAAAGATTTTCGGCCAGGCTGGGACAGGGGCAGAGGAGTGGGTGCCGAGGGAGGTGTGCCCCCTGCACAGCCTGTCCCGGTCTTTGAATGAATGGCGGCTCAAGTGTGAACTTTTGTGCTGTTGCTAAAGAATCAGTATTTGACCAGAGCAGATGACAAACTGACCAGAAACACTGCCTTTTAACCAACAACACCACAGGTAGTTTATTTGGGTCCCAGATGGAAAGATATACCAGTCATTCATAGGAATTCAGGGTACTCTCTGGAGCCAGTCATGGGGGGAAAGAATAGCGGCTCCCGAAATGCATACTGCGATTTATAGTTTGCAAAGCACTTTTATGGACTTCTCAGCCTTGCAAAACAGCTTTGGAAGCATGGATACGCTCAGCCTCAAGTCACACATGATGAAACCGAGGTTCAGAAATAGCCCCACAGTTATCAAGTGAAAAAGTCAGAACGTAAATCCAGGCCCTCTGTTTCCAGGTCTTACGCTCTATTCCTGGCTTGTGGGAAATCCACTCAACATACTAATCTAACTAAGCAATGGCACAGGGCTTTTTACTAGTGGGGCCCTGTGGAGATACAGTGGTGTCTGCAAGGAGTGGTAAAGGGCAAGGACAGAGAAAGGAAGAAAGAAGTAAATAAATACATAAAACAACACATTCTTGCCTTGGGAAAGCAAAAATGCCAATTTCTTAACCAGTCCATAAATGTGGGTTACATTTTAAAAAGATATAAAAGGATCTTAGTTATAAGTCTGATGAAGTCAATGATGTCAAAACAAAAAAAGCAGGCTATACAATGGAAGTTACCTGAAAAATACTGAGGTCTTAGGAACAGGATCTACTTGGCAGGTGGATGGAAGCCACCGGGACCCAAAGGGCCTTACAGAAAACTTTGCTGGGAACCTGGGTGGCTCAGTCAGCTAAGTGTCTGATTCTTAATTTTGGCTCAGGTCATGATCAAGGAGTCGTGAGATCTGAGCCCTGAGTCGGGCTCTGTGCTGGGCGTGGAGTCTGCTTGAGATTCTCTCTCCCTCTCCCTCTGCCCCTCCCCCCTCTAAAAATATACATTATATAGTATAATAAATATAATTCTTTAAAAAAAGCTTTATTGTCTTTATCTCAGAAGTTCTCCTGAAATTTTTTCGAGAAGGGAGGTCTAGTCACAGTTTAACAAGAAATCAGTGCTTCCTCTGGTCTTGTGGAACCTGGGCTCCAATCAGATGGGATCTTCTAGGGAACATCTATCAAGTCTACTCCCCCAGAGTGAAGGATTCAGGGTCAGCCCAGCCCTATTCCTAGGACCCCCCACCTCTTACATATATCATGTTAAAAACTTTTTTACTATTTTGTCTGGATGGTGTCCAAGTTTTGTATACCCTCGAAGGCACAAATGTATACCATTTGCCACAGACACGGAGGAACATGCTAGGAGATGACAGGGTAAGGGTGAGATTCTTGAGTAGTGACAACCAGAGAATAACTACAAACTTAAAGATGAAGAAATTCATCACAATCTCAGACTCCACCTTTCATCTAACACTTAACTTTTGAGTTTTTGTCATTACCCACATCTCACTATCCATTTTACACAGGTTTTTGTTTTTTATTTTTGTTAGTTTTTTTGGTGGGGGAAGACGGACTTTTAACATTCCTTTTAACTTTAATGCATTTGAAACTCAGGCAGCAATAACATTTGCTTTGAATAATAATTACTCGAAGGCTGAAATTTTTTTATTTCAAGCCAAAGTGAATAACATCTGCAAGGAACCACACAAAATTCCACTTACTAGCATAAGAAATCACAGATGAGCGACACAGAGTTTCAAATCAACCAGTCTCTTTCATGAATGACATGTGTGAAAATGTAACGTGTAGCTACCACCCTTAATGGATTACATGTTCCTATTTAGTTTCTCATTTGTCTCTATCAGGCTGATGTGTGGGTTCAGTGGAGACTTGATGACACTTTCAAAGATCACACCCGATTAATGGCACAGTCACACTCTGTATTTTTCATAGCTGCTCTCATTCAGAGTCAGTGCTAGTAGCATGTTGAAATTGTGGGAGAAGGATTTTTTTTCTAAAAACTAAAACACTTTCTTATTTTTCACAAGCTCTACAAGACATCTAGAATTCCAGGCAATTTTGGTCTTCTTCTGGAAGAAACCCGAAGTGAAGAGAAATCTGGCTTGGAGCGCACCCCCCGCCCCCATCAGCTGAATAAAGAGGTTCTGAAAAGAAAAGTCAACTTACCCCATAGTACAGGCCAAAATAGGGAGAGATCTCTGGCTTGAAAATGTTGATGAGGGACAAGATCTCATCTTTGTAGCCCCAGAGTAGTTCGTCCACGGTGTGGGTCACAAAGAGCGTCTGCTGATAGGCCTTCAACAGGGCCTCGATGAGCTTCCGGAGGAAGCGGACCTGGGCCCATTCCATGGCAGTCTGAGAAGGACAGGCAAGTTCAGATAGAATCCCTGCCCCACTCTCCTACTGCCCCTTTGGCAAAGAGGCTTAAAAGTAAATGTTAAGACTGAATAGCTGCAAAATCAGCCAGAAAGATCCTCCCTGGATGCGTGTGCAAGAACAAGACTCTTCAGTTGTTGTCCTTTCTCAGTATTATATATTGTAAGTTTGAGCTTAGCATTCCCATCTGCAGCTAGCTCTTGAGTTCTCTCCACACTGCCAGTGGAACGAGAAAAACTCTTGTAAATACACTGGCATCTTTAGCCACAAGGTGGCGCCACTGTCCCTGTGATCCAAGCCAGACGCTGGCCCCCTCACTTTAAACCCTGCTGGCGTAGGCAGCAGGGCAAGGTCAAATCTAGGATCTAGTAATTTCTAAGTCCTGGGTCCACCACTGAGTGTCCAGCTCATGTGTCGTCATGGAATGGGAGCCTCAGAGGGGATTGCTGTAGGTGAATAGGAAAGTTTTCTGGGTCTCCGGCATCTTTCTTAGATGGGATTGTCATAACTGAGCCCAGTGAAATCCTGCTAGGCTGTAATCAGCACCCAGTCTCTGCTACTTATTAAGGGGGGGAAAGTCAGTATATATTTGGAGAATTAAAAAATCTAAGGTTGAAATCTAAACTAAGAAGTGGTATGCAAATTCTGTTGCTGGGACCTTCTGAACCAAAACAAGGCGCACATAAATCTTTAAAAAATCATTTGCTATCCACCCCCACCCCCTCAAAAAAATCCTCGGGACATACTTATTTGCACAAGAGCTGATCCTGAACACACAGCAAGAAGCTGTGTGTGTGTGTGTGTGTGTGTGTGGCAGGGGGGAAGAATCCTAAAATTTGCATTATGTCACCATTTGAAAAGATCTTATCTTTGAACCATTGAAAACATCTTTGAAAAGATTATGTCACCATTTGAAAAATCTCAGAAAAAAGTCTTAGATGAACTCTAAGGGAGGGGAGTGTAAACATCTATTTCTATTTTTATATACGTATATTTTTAACATAATAACTCCTAAATGTAAAAACGTAATAGCCTTAACTTAGCTTTTTCCTTTCTTCTAAAATCCACAATAATGACACGAAAAATGCCTACTTACCACCGCAGGAATATTTAATGTTCTAATTAAGTCAACTTTAGGGTCTCCAACAGATTGATTTCGTTCAAAAACATAGGCCTCTTTCCTAACAGCAGATATTGTCGTTCCATTATCTCCAAACTGAATATCTGCTTTGTTTCTGAGTTCCCTAAAAGAAAGAAAAGGATTGTTTGAAATTGGTACCACTTTAAAAAAGCAATACTTGACCTTTCTTTAAGCGTCAAAGTTATTTCCAATACAACATTCCACTATAAGCATTAATGAGAGAGCCTACAGATGCCGACCTCCTAAACACAGGAGACTAAAGTAGAATGTGGGAAGGAAATAAGGCCTCGGATAGTCTTCTCAAAACACTGTCCTTTTCATTCTTTTCCCCTACAACAGAGGAAACATGATGGCCCAGGGTTACCCTGACCAACAAATCAAAGCCAATGAACTCTCCGTGTTACAGTTTGCTCCTGAAAAATTTTCAAACTTTTCAGTTCACAGATTCAGTCTGAATTTCAACCTATTTTCCAAAGTCTTTTTATTTCTTATTTGAATTCAGTTGAAAATCCATTTAACAAAATAAATGACCAAGACTTAGTAAATTAGAGGAGTTTGCTCCTGGTTTTGGTAATATAGCTCAGTTTGGTTCAGGTTCATGCCCCCGATGAAGTATCAAGTTCACAGAAAGTGCCTGGAGCCAGGGCCTCATTAGGGTTGGGGGGGCGGGGGGCACTTGCCTTGCGTGCAAAATACCAGAGGTGTCAGAACACTCTGAAATGAAGGTATATCATATGGCAATGTGTTTTTTTAAGGTCAAAATTAATGGCGAAAACATTCATGATGAACAAAATATCAAATTCTAAATAAAAACAGGGTCTGATAGTTGGTTCATCCAATGGTTTACACTAGTGCTGGCCCTGCCTGGTCCATAGTCGATGTTCATTAAATTCCAGCGTCTACTGCTTCTCTCCCTCTGCTCCTTGCCTTGTCTTCTTCCTGTTCTGTCTAGGGATGAGCTGTCTGACCCGGTAGCCACGTGTCTACTACGCCCTTGAACTGTGACTAATCGGAACTGACATGTGTTGTGACGGTAAAAGACACACCAGATTTCAAAAACAGCACAAAAAAAGGAGTGTAAAATATCTCCTTAATTTTTTATGTTGGTTACCTGCTTTTAAATCATACTACTTTAAATACAATAGGTAAAATAAAAATATATTATTCATATTAATTGCACCTGTTTCTTTTTGCTTTGTTTTCAGATGTGGCTATTGGAAAAATCTTAAATTACGTATGTGGTTCACATTATATTTCTATTGGACAGAGCTAATCAATAAGAGTTTATAATTCTGAGAAAGCTACAGAGGCTACCCCCCACCTCCTCCCAGACCTTTCCTGACCACAGCCACACCCCTTAACACCTATGGAGGGGGCTGTGGGTACCATGTCTTTGGCACTAAACTGCTTAGTGACATCATTTAGATTGTGAAGGGATTATCTTAATGCCTCAGGTAGACTGCAGGCAAGCTAACGAAACCTCAATTTCTCGAATTTTAAAATAACAATAGACAAGCAAATAAACAGACGTATATACAGAGATGTATCAAAATAAGTGTCTTTGCTCTTTATCTAAGCACCAAGCTATGCACAATAAATAAATATCGGAGCCTGCATGGCTCCTCAAAGGATTAACCAAACAATTTTATCTGATTTCATTTAGTCCTTACGGCAAGGCTATGGCCCATACGGAGGTGAGAGTTTCTGCCCCACTGTGTTACAGAAGGGGACACAGGGCACAGACGGGCGTTAGTAACGGAGTCAGTCCTGGCCTCCCTTAGGAGGTGCTTAATAAATATCTGCAGGGGGGCGCCTGGGTGGCTCAGTTGTTAAGCGTCTGCCTTCGACTCAGGTCATGGTCCCAGGGTCCTGGGATCGAGCCCCGCATCGGGCTCCCTGCTCAGCAGGAAGCCTGCTTCTCCCTCTCCCACTCCCCCTGCTTGTGTTCCCTCTCTCGCTGTGTCTCTCTCTGTCAAATAAATAAATAAAAATCTTTTAAAAAATTCTATTAAAAAATTTAAAAATAAATAAATAACAAATAAATTATCTGCAGGATGAAACCCATGAATGCCTCTAACAAATGCCAAATAGGAGAGAGAGAAAACTTACACACACTTCCAGTTACGAGGAATCAGTACAAAACCTGACAGAGGTTGTATGTAGCGTCAAATGCTCGTGCGGTCGGTCAGCAGTTAGCTGCAGACTCTGGCTGTCCGACGCCCATTCATTTCCTTTTCTGCTCAGAGCCCTGGTCTCCTTCCTCTCCTGCACTGGGCAGTGGTGAGGGACCCAAGCTCGACCAGTTCATTCCCTTGGCTTCTGTTCCTGAGCACAGAGCCTCAAGATGGAAAACCCAGTAGAAAGACGGCTTCCTCTGGCAGGGGTGCACATGGCATGTGAGGACCCGTGCACCCCTGTGACCTGGACCTATAAAGTTGCCCCAGATCCTGCCCCTGTCTTCCCAGCTGCCCCAGCTGCCCCTTGGAGTCTGTAACCCACTTTATGGCCTTCAAATAATTTCCCTTTTTATTTAAATTAGCCAGAGATGGTCTGTCTTGCCACCGAAGACCCATATATAGAAACCACAACCCGGTCTTTTGATAGATGAGAAGATGGAGATTCACATAAAGTAGGAGCCCCAGACTCACCAGCAAGTGTCAGGACCAGGTTTGGAATCCTGGTCACCTGACTCCACATCCAAGGTTTTCCTTGACTCTACACATAAGTGAATGCAAAGTGATTTGTTAGAGCTGGAGAAGAGGACCTCAGCCAAGGCTTCTGCCTACGGAGAGGGGCACCCCTCCACCACTGGCTAGTCCCAGAGCCTCCTGCAGGAAGGTGAGGGGGACAGCCTTCTCTAGGTGTAGCTTCTTGTATTTGTGGCCCAGGACCCCACAGTGGTCTGGACGGAGCATTAAGGAACTAGAAATAGAAAAAGTGACCCCAGGGTGAACACCAACTTGCGCTCAGAGAAAGCCGAGCCAAGGAGCCAAGAGCTGGGACACCTCCCCCCCCAACCGCCCCGGTGCAGAAGCCCAGGGTTGAACTCTGCCAAGTTTTCAGACTAGTGATGAAAACTGATAACCTCGCTAAGGCTTTTAACATTTTTTAACTGAACCCAGATGTCACAAACCTAGAGTATGGAATAATTCCAAGCCTGGAGGCTGCTTCATTTATGTTTGTTTATATTTACTGACTCTGAAGATGGCTTTTCAAATTTTTCTTTATTGTTTACCCTGCAAGAACCTAACATTTTAAAGGGAAATTGAGCATGGTGGTTCCAATCACTTTAAGCCCTTGGTAACTTGACTTGGTTTCTCAATAAATTCAAAGGTCAAAGGCAAGGGTTCCCAAACCACAGAAATACTTAATTCCCTTGGCAGGCATGAGGGGACTATGTCAGGTCACTCACAGCTAACCACATGACTTCCTGTAGCCACCAGCCACCCTAAGACATGACTGACATATGGCCTGTGTTCTAACTGAAGGAAGACAGTGCTACTGGCTGTCAGAAGGGGCCTCCCCTCCTCAGAGGCCAAGGGGAGGGATGGTGAGGGGCTCCCTCTTGAAACAGGCTCCTCCTGATGGAGGAAACCTAGAATGTTTCCCCTCCCAAGCCTCTTAGCAGCTGGCAACTGCAGGGAGGTCACCAGGGAAGGAGAGGGATTTTAATAATAATAATACCAACAAGTCTGGTTACCCAAACCTCCCCCACAGCTCCTCAACAGTAGTCAACCAGAAGCAGGGTGGTCTCCTGGGGAACAGCAGACTGAGAGCAAGAAGTGAGCCATTACTGCTCTATAGATCCAACAACACTAAAGAAACTTCCAGAAAGAGACAGAAGAGTTAAAAAAAAATGGCAAAGCAAATCTTATGCCTAGACAATTAATTAAGGAACTGTAGTTGAAGTGCCTGGTCCTTAGTAGATGCTAATAAATCTTACTGATGTTCAAGGCCCCAGGACATCACAGGCTCAGATTATGGCTTACTGTTTTGTTTTATAAAGATTTTATTTATTTCACAGAAAGACAGAGAGCACAAGCAGGGGGGAGCGGCAGAGGGAGAGAGAGAAGTGGAGCCTGATGCAGGGCTCGATCCCAGGACCCTGGGATCATGACCTGAGCTGAAGGCAGACACTTAACTGACTGAGCCACCCAGGTGCCCCTGGCTTACTTTTTCAATCACAGTGATGGCCCTAGACATTAATAAAAGGTTGAGTTATACACCATGAACTACTTAATTAGGCAGGAAAATACAAGACTGATTTTAGAGCTATTTCATTTAAAATTATTTTTGGTTAAAACAGTTATTACTTTTTTTTTTTTAAAGATTTTATTTATTTGACAGAGTGAGAGACAGCGAGAGGGAACACAAGCAGGGGGAGTGGGAGAGGGAGAAGCAGGCTTCCCGCCGAGCAGGGAGCCCAATGCGGGGCTCAGTCCCAGGACCCTGGGACCATGACCTGAGTCGAAGGTAGACGCTTAACGACTGAGCCACCCAGGCGCCCAACAGTTATTACTTTTTAAAACAAACAAGTTTTTAAACTCCTGAATGATTAAATAAAATCTTACCATCACAGAAGGCAACCAATAGCCTGAGATAAGGAAACCAAAAGAAATAACTTTAATTAGCTGGAAAATTAACATCTACGCAATATCTAATTCCTCAGAGCTGCTGGATAAATTAGCTACATGTAGGACTGTCATATAATCCTCATTTTTCAGCCATTCAGGCTCTCCACCCAGCCACTGCTGTCTGCTGAGAACTACTGTCAGAAGTCACGAGCATGCTGGGTGGAGCACGGGTGCTGACTGCCAGGCTGTGCATTCGACCCTGGCTTCCTCAGTTACTAGCTCTGTGACTCAGAAGTTACTCCTTGATTCTGTGCCTCAGTTTCCTCACCTCTAAAATGGAGATAATAAGATGCCTTCTTTGTAGGGTTGTTGTGAGCATTAAATCCACATGGGCTTATAATCCAGTTAGAATACTGCCTGGCACATACTAAGTGTTTAGGAAGCATTAGTTACTAATACCATGTGCAAGCGGGTTTGTGCAAAGCTCTCAAGATGGAGAGATGTAAAGATCTGGTTCCTGTTTGCAAGA